GAGTTTCTGGCTGAATAGCTCAGTGGTGTAGGTATCTGTTTGCAGAGCCAGGGGTTGGGAGTTGAATTCCCCACTGTGCTTCTTGCAAGTAGAGCCTGTGTGGCCATAGACAAGCTGCACAGTCCCAGGGCACCTCGAAAAGAAGGGAATGGAAAACCCTGAAATGTCTCACTGTAAGTCAGGATTAATTTAAAAGCACATGATTATGTTATCAGTTATTCCTAAAATTGAATCCCCAGACATTCTTGGACTGCAACTCCCAGAAGCTTTTGCCAGCAGAGCTCGTGGTGAAGACATTGGGGAGTTGCAGTCCAGGAACACTTGGGATATCCACAATTGGGACCACTGATATTATTATCAATTCTTCAGAAAACATTCAGTTTACAGATGTGGGATATTTTGCTTCTGTACCAATGACTCAGAAAGCCAGGAAATGGCCCAATATTGCTGTACAATATTGGGCCTGCATTGCAAGCAGGAAAAAGGATGCCAAGTTTTACATAGCAACGGGCAGTCTGAATGATGACAACACCAGTGCCAGCAGTCAGGATGATCTACCGGATATCCTCTTCTGCTCATTACCATTCACACATTGAAAAGCAGCCCTGACAAGTGGTGAACTGATGAAAAAAGGAAACTTCTGGGATTTTCCCTTTTGTGGTGTCACTTTGTGAATGGTAGTGATGCTGGGGGACTCCTGTTAAACACCTTGGTTCCATGATCCCTCATATTATTTTATATAGACAGTACATGAAAAACTTGGAAGAGGCTGTCTAGAATTTTGTGGGCTGGTGCCACCCAACTCTGTCTGGTTTTTAAGATCTTCCAGAGGGCCCATCTCTCAGGCCCCAGTGTGTGGTCACCCAGCCCCCTGCTGTCAATTTCATCCCATAGTCTACTTTACTCTCAGTTGAAATTCTACATGTAAAAATAACCTTATAGTATGTTTTCTGTTTCATTAATTTAAACATTTGGTGTTAAAAACAGCAGTATTCTTGAAAAGAACAAATCAATGAGTAAATCATAGCTAAACGTTTCTTACATTCATTATGACGATACAGTGCAAAATGACATAAGACATGGTACTGGAAAACGAGACTTCCAGATTGGAAAGCACTCAATCAGCTACTGGGGAAGAGCAGAGGAAAAGTACAAATAGCACTGTTGCTAATGATACAACTAGATTAAAGCCAAAAGGACGACTAGTGGTTGATGTGGAAAGAGGATAAAAGAATGACCAATGCTGCCCAACATATACAATTGGAACATGTAATGTGAGAAGTATGAATCAAGGTAAACTGAAAACTGTAAAACAAGAAATGGAATATTTAAACATAGTAGTGCTTGGCATAAGTGAATTAAAGTGGACTAGAATGGGACATTTTCAGTCAGACAACTACAAAGTGTTTTACTCTGGAAATAACAGGCTCAAAGAAATAGAATGATTCTGACACTGAGGCAAGGTATAGCACTAGCAGTTAGAGGCTATAATGCAAGGTCTGATCAAATAATATGCATCAGACTCTGGGGAAAGCCTATCTGCATAACCATCATCAGGTTTAAATGAAAATGAAACCTTTTCTGCAAGCATCCAGAAAGAAATTGATCACACACCAAAATAAGAGATGCTTATAATCATAGGTGACTGGAATACAAAAATAAGAGTAATAACTATCAGACTATATGGTCAGATTGTGTGACAGACCAGAAATTGTTAGTGTTAAAAATGAGAGTAATGCTGAAGAGGGATAATGTTGCTCAAAGAAGCTGAAGAAACAGAACCAAATTTTCCTGGAGAAATTGGCCTAGAAGACACAAGTGAAACAGTTGTAGAAGAAGTAGCCGTGTTAGTCTGTGCAAGCACTATAGGTAAAAGAAAAATAAAAAGTAAAAAAAAAGACAAAAATGAGGTGGCATCTTAAGGACTAACTTATATATATGTATTTTTGTGAGCTTTCATGAACAAATCCACTACATCAGACATAAGATTTAATGTGGCAAATATTTATACATGGCATTAAAATCTAGATATCAAAATACAGAGGTTGTGTTTGGTTGGTAAGAAAGTCAGTAGGTGTTGAAAATTGCAATGTTGGCATCTTTCATATATGCAGGTCTTTCACTGAAGCGTGTGCTATAAAGAATGTGAGAATCTCTGTCATAAAATAACAATGGCAGAGCAACATGAATGTTAATTAGATTCGCTATAGACAGTTGTTGAGGAACACACACCCCAAGCTTTCCTTTGCAATCAGTTGCAATAGTGTGTGAATTACTCCAGGCAATAGATTACCACAAGAGAATGTTTCACCTTTGAAGTTTCTAAGGTAGATCTGTTAAGTGGGGGGGGGGGAACATCTGGGAGATGCAGTACAGTAACATAATTGTAGTGTTTATATCAGGTGGTGCCCTAAAAAGCATTGGCTTTTATTAAGTCCATTGATGTGTGTATCTAGCAAGTGTATGTAATTTATCTCAGATGTTCCTCTCTGGATTTTTGCCCTGTAGTTTCTTTTTTCTAGGATGCCACTTTCAGATTATCTGTGGAATGTCCTGGTAAATTAAAATGATGTGTGTTGTCTGATTTTCCTGATGTCTAATTTATGTCCATTAATTCATTTGCACAGAGATTGTCCTGTTTGTTCTGTGTAGAGTGCAAATGGGGATTGTTGACAAAAGATAGCAGAAATAACATTGGTAGAAGAATAGGTAAAGTACCTTTGATATTGTGTGTGACATTGGTAGGTAATTGTATTGCCTGAATAGGTGTGGGAGCAGAGCTGACATCTGGTTTTTAGCATGGTTTTGTTCCCTTCTCTATTTCAGTGTTGCATTGTCCATTGTGCGTCAGGAGTCATTTGAGGTTAGAGGATTGTCTATAAGCCAGTATAGGTCTGTCACCAAGGGCTTTGGAGAGTGAAGTGTTCTTGTGGAGAATGGGTTGGAGATATTTTATGATGTGTTTGAGTGGTCTCAGTTGTGGACTGAAAGTGGCAACTAGTAATGTTTGATTATTTTCCCTTATCCATTTATTCTGTAGTAGGTTGGTACTAGGTATCCGTCTTGCTTTATTAATTTGGTCCTTAATCATATTGGGTGGATACCGTAGTCTGAGGAAAGCATGAGGAAAATGAAACAGGAGAACAACTCATAGAATTCTATGAAGCCAAATATCTGTTTATTGCAAGAACATGCTTCTAACAACCAGATTACCTTAAAGTTGGACATCAGTATAGAAGTCGGACTACGTATTTGCAAGCAGGAGACGAAGAAGCTGTATTGTCTGACAAAATAAGTCCAGAAGCAGATTGAGGGAATGACCACAAATTGTAGTGTCAAAAGTGAGAGTAATGCTGAAGAAGAGCACTAAAAGAACCCTAGTTTCCACATATAATGTAAACATTTCTGACAAATTTAAGTCCAGATTTGCATTACTAAACTCTGTTGATCATGAACTACAAGAACTGTGGATTGAAACCAGATATATTATTAGGGAAGAATGAAAAAAGATAATTTCTGTTGTAAAAAATAAAAGAAAAACCTACACCCTGGAATGCCAGAAAGACAAACAAGTCGGCCATAGATCCAATCTAGCCGTAACTGTCTCTTGATGCCAAAATTTTGAAACTGAGACTGTCCTACTTTGAGGACATCATGAGAAGACAGGATTGTTTGGAAAAGACAGTAATGCTGGGAAAAGTTGAAGGCAGCAGGAAAAGAGGAAGACCAAATATGAGATGGGTTGACTTGCTAAAGGAAACTTGAGTTTTCACGAGCTGAGTAGGACTGTTGAGGACAAGACATTTTGGAGATCACTTCATTCATAGGGCCCCTTTTATTTGGGGTGACTTGGTGGCATTCATAGGGCCCCTATGATTGGTTTCTGTTAACTTATTCTGTTTACTTCATTGATTTATGTACTGCCTTTGGGCCAAAATGACCCCATGTGGCTTATAAAAATTAAGCCCAAATGAAAATATTGGCTGAAATTCAATAACATAAAGTTATGCCACCTAAGTCTGATGATGTAATTATCTGTTTTCATATTTGGTAAATAAAGTTCATTATACCTCTCCCAAGGTTTTCTATGCCCCCTTAGGATCCCTTTGGTCCTGGGAAGGTCTTTGGAGACAGCATGATGGGGCGGGAATTAACTGGAGAGTTCTTACCAATGGCTTCTTCTCAAATTGGAACGAGGTAACAAGTGGGGTACCCCAAGGCTCAGTCCTAGGCCCAGTGTTCTTCAACCTTTTTATTAATGACTTGGGTGAGGGAGTGCAGGGAATACTTACCACATTTCCAGACAACACACAATTGGATAGAAAAGCTAAGGATTTGAAAGACAGGAACAAATTTCAAAAAGATCTTGACAGGTTTGAGTACTGGGTTGAAAAAACACCATGAAATTTAACAGGGATAAGTGCGAAGTTGTACACCTAGGAGGAAAAAACATCTGAATGTTCAGTTACAAGATAGGGATACTTGGCTCAGTAGTAACAGGGATAAGTGTATAGTTGTACACCTAGGAGGAAAAAACGTCTGAATGTTCAAGTTACAAGATAGGGATACTTGGCTCAGTAATGCTATGATTGAGAAGGCTCCTGGAATTGTAATAGCTCAGAAGCTGAATATGAGCCCACAGTGCAAAAAAAGAGCAAATGCAATTTTAGGCTGCACTAACCAGAAGTATACAAACCCTGTGAGGTACTAGTCCCACCCTCACCCGCCCCCATTTCAGACTGGTTAGGCCTCTAGAGTACTTTGTCCAGTTTTGAACATCACACTTTAAAACAGATGCCAAGAAGCTGGAGCAAGTTCAAATGAATACAACAAGGATGATCAGAGGGCTGGAAATCAAGCCCTATGAGGAAAGGCTGAAAGAACTGGGCATATTTAGCCTTGAGAAAAGATTGAGGGGAAATGTGATAGCACTTTTCAAATATTTTATTATTATTCTATGATTAAACTTAATAGAATATTCACTGTTTCTTCTTTGTGGTCTCTGTGAATGCACACTAATGGGTTTATCTGCGCCTGCGCAGAGGTCTCCAGAATATTCTAGAGCTCAAACGTCCATTCGCTAGGACCACCCCCTAGTACATGTGGTCTGCCCATCCTTATGAGTGTCTCAGTTCCTTTTTGCCGCCTCTAAGGTCTCATCTTCGGTTGAGCTCTCCGTTTGCGCAATCTGCTTCTTTTTCCTGAGGAAACTTCATAATTGTATCGTTATTTAGAATAGACTCTCTTCATTATTCTTTTGTGAGATTTGGATTTTTTCCTCTATTTCCCCTGCCCCCCCTTCCTTTCCGTTCCTGCCGTTTATGGCCCCCACAGGGCCGTTTAAGAGGTGCACTTCGTGCATGAATAAGATCCCTGTGTCTGATGGCCACAGTTCTTGCCTGTTTTGTCTGGGAGAATCACACCAACGGCCTCCTGCTCCTATTGTAAAAATGTTACTAATTTTTGTAAGTTGTCAAGAATCTCTTCTGAGCCATCAAACTCCCCCAAGAGGACCTTAAATCTTTCTTGTGGGAGCAATCTCTTTGTCCCCCATCCAAGATGGATGAGACACGGGGTTCACAACCACCACTGGTCCCTTCTGTTACCAACTCTCGGTTGCCAACACCTAAATCTAAGACAAAAATGCCTAAGTCTAATAAGCCCTCGGAATCGGCATCTCAATCGATTCCAACACTGAAATCCAGTCCGAAACCAGTCGGTACCAAACCAAATAGTCTTCCATCGACGCTCAGCCACCAGTACAACACCCTCCCGTGCAGGATCAACCACCTATCGATCTTGATACTGACCATGAATCCATTCAACAACCTTGAATTACTTGCGATTTTCAAAGCATTCCGCGCCTTCGAACCACTCATTGCTGGCACCGCGGTGCAAGTGACCACAGACAATACGACAGCTCTATTACATCAACAAACAGGGAGGTACACTCTACCCCTTCTGTATCTTGCTGTCCAATTTTGGGGACTGGTGCCTAATTCACCATATCTTCCCCATAGCGCTTCACATTGCCACACAATGCAGACTGAACTTTCAGATGCACGAGTGGTCCGACAACACTATTTTTTCCAGCTGTACACCAAATGGGGTCGTCCAGACATAGACGTTTTCACCACAGCAATCAATGCTAAATGCATCCAGTACTTCTCCAGGGCAGGCCTGGCCCGAGGCTCCCTCGGCAATGCTGTAATGGCAAACTGGAATACGCATTTCCTTTACCTCTTTCCACCGATCCTACTTTTCCTGCGGACCATTGTCAAATTGCGACAGAACCGTTCAACGATGCTCAGGTTGATAGCCTCCCAATCCATCCATCTATTGCTGCTCCCACACCTTCTCACCCAGCATCAGGGGCAAACTCTAGCACTGTTTTCTTTGTGCAAGCTCACAAGAGGAGAGGTTCCAGATCACATTGAGGCTCTTCTTGTGAGCAAGAATGCTGGGTTCTTGCTTACATGGAGGACGGAAACAGGGCCAGGAAACTCTCCTCTTCAGACTTATTGGTCATGTGAAGAAAGCAGCAACAGAGTGGGGTGGGGTAAGGTGATCCCCACTAAATTTCATGAAGAAACTGGATTCTATAATGCCTGAACACAGCAATACAGTCAGACAGGAGTCCACTTCAAAGATTTCACAAGGAGCAAGGGACAGGAGAAGGACTAAGGAAATCATACAATCCTGTTGTGAATATATATCATCAATCAAAATCTGGTGACAGAGAAACTTAGATGTGATGTCTTTGTTATTTGTGTGTTACATTTTTGTAGTTTCATCAGATCATCAATTTTGCTCTGGGGGAAAAATAGAGCAAGAACAGGATGGTTGAAATCTGCCGTGAAAATGAGCATGGCAGAGTGAGAGCACAGAGCTATCACTTAATCTGGGATATGGGACATTTTCCCCTCAAGATCAGTTTGGATAAGAATTTACCAGATTACATGATCATGTGAAATTAGATTAGTATTTCTCATAATCAGCCTGGAAAGAACTTAAAGTAATAAAACTTTGAATGTGGGAAAAATGGAAACAGATACACAAATTACTGTGCACATGGATGGATCTGAGAACTCAACTATTAAAAACTGAAGTTTTGGTTGCTGTATAATTCAGATATGGCTAGTTGAATAACCCAGGGGTTTAAGTTTCTGGGTGCAAAGCCAGAAGTTGGGAGTTTGATTCCTCACAGTGCCTCTTGTGAAATAAAGCCATCCTACATGGTCTTGGGCAAGCTGTACAGTCCCAGAGTGCCCCCAGAAGAAGGGAATGTTATACTGCTTCTGAGTATTCTCTGCCTGGAAAACCCTAACAAGTTTTCCAGAATTGACTTGACAGCACATGATTATTTATTATATTCAATCCTAGGCATGGAACTGCCCACCTCTAGAGTGATACTGAGCATTGTCAGCAGCTTCATGGGGTTCAGCATTTTGTTACTCCTTGTAGGAGTAAGGTAGGAGAGGAAATAGACATTAAGGAGTGTCACCCACATGTCGATGTTAAAGCTGAGGGGAGGGGAGATTATAAGCCCTCCTTGGACTGCCATTGCCTTCTTCTTGGCTCTGCTTACTCACACTCTGTATTTAAAATATATTCATTTGGTTGCTTCGGGACCGGGTAGGAATGTTGATCACCTGAATGGTGTATTGAACTAAAGGTGGCCAGGATTTTCTTTTTGTCTATAGTGTCAATAGATTCTATGTTCTGATGAGTGACCATCTTATCCTGACAGTTCGGGCATCAATCTGTGGTTCCAGCTGCTGACTGGGATCTACCAGACATTCCTATCTGTTCTTAAATTGCACCCCTCTCCCCATGTCAGCAGCACACAGACTCTTGCAAGTAGGCTCCGTGAAAACTTCCTGGCAAAGGCTGAGGTGGTTGTTTGAGGACAAAAAGAGGCTTCTGAAGAGCCTACATGTGACAAGGACAGCTATGTGTGCCTTTTTAAAAACCTCTAAAACAGTGAATTAAGTGAAAGAAAATCAATCTTAAGACATAACCCCCTCCCCATCTTGTTTTAACTTCCTGCACATTATTTCAAGCCATTTTCCCAGTCTAGCTGATGGTAGCAGAAGTGAGCTGAGTGATGGAGCACAACAAGGTAAGGCAGGGCTTTTCTCATGTGCCTCGTCTTGCATTAAAACTTTAATGTATTCAGATTCTTGGTTTGTTCAGTCCCTAATAAACTTAATTTGTGTTTTGTCAGGTTCCAATTATGAGTAACTATTGAAGATTTATTTGATAAAGAAACAAAGAGAATTCATTTCAAAGTGTTTTCACTTTAACCCTTTCACAAAACCTGCTTAATTACACAGATATTGTGTAACAAAATCCAGTCATATTCTAATGACAAAGGAATGAACAAGATTAGTTTGCTCTAAAAGTCTGGGGAAGTAAAACTGCCTGTCTCTTGATTGATTGATAGATAGATTGATTGATAGATTGATTGATTGATTGATAGGTCTTATACCCTAACCATTTAGTGGCAAACCACAAGTGTGCAAAACAGATGAAGAACAATAAACACAAAAAAATCCACCCCAAACCACCATGATTAACAGACATAACTCTTCAAGATGGCAAAGCTAAAGACAGCTGATTTGATGCTAGGCAATAGACCATTAACATAGGGCCGTCACAAATTAACATGGAATTAAAATTATAAAAGGCCTGGGTAAAGAGCCAGGCTGTTTGCTTCCTGAAGCTAAGGAGGGTGGGAGACTGACACACCTCTACCAGAAAGGACTCCCATAGTGACGCAACCAGTATTGAAAAGGCCCAATTTCTAGTTGATGATTTCCAGACTTCTTTTGGAGTGGCCACCTGCAACATCAATGATTGGGAGGTGCGAGGTTGACCTGAGAGAAAAGCACTCTGTTTGCTAGCAAGGTCCTAAACTAAAGGGCTCTGTAAGATAATTAACATTAGCACTTTGAATTTGGCCTGGAAGCATACCGGCAGCCACTGCAAATGAGCCAAGACAGGTGAGATGTGGTCAAATTTCAGGGTATCCATGATCAACCTGGTTGCTGCATTTTGCACTTCTTGCAGCGTCTGAACCACCTTCAAGGTCAGCCCCATGTTGCAGTAGTCAATCCTCAAGATTACCAACACATGAACCAGTGTTATTGGGAACGTCTTCTTGAGAAAGGGGTGGAAGTGTGTATATAGAGAAGGAAAGAGTTCCAAGTGACAGTTTTGGAGGCAAACTTTAGGCATAGCAGGATAAAGATTACCATAAGATCTTGTGAATCTGTTTATGCATATTTTTCCTTTCTATGAAATATTTCCACAGGACTTGGATGGTAGATCAGCAGCCTCAGAAACGGAAGCTATCTACTGCAGGACAGGTAATACATGGAAGAGGGGTGGTAGTAGCAGCATGCTCATTTATCTATTGAATCTTTTCTGTCCCCAATAAGAAAGACTTATCAATATTCTTGATGAATCTCTGGTGGCTTCAGTGAAGAAACAAAGAAATTTGTTGGATTTTGTGATGCTTCTTTTTCCGTTTTTCCTTTCGCCTCTCCCAGTTCTAGATGTTGCATTACAGTGATGATTTCTCTCTTTCTGACTTATTTCTGTAGGATCATCAAGCATCAAGAAACCAATCATTCTTTCCTTATATGGGTTCAGTTGCTTGCCCATTGTTCGTTCAGTTCTCAGTGGAATGTTGCAGAGCGGCATAGTGTCCAGAGACTAAAACAAAAGGATGCTAGTGATAATCTTAATGCCTTCATCCTATCCTATGGAAGACACCTAATAAAAATGGATTTCCTCAGTTTGTGTGTTTTGTATATGTTTGTGTGCTGATCTTTTCCTGTGACCTTGTTGCCCTATATTGCAAGTAGTAGGACTGACCTCTTTGGAAGGTGGGGTTGTTTTTTGCTGTCCTTATGTTCTCCTCCCTGCTGTGCTTTCATAGGGCGCACCCCACACCAGCAGTTTTTATGGGTGCTGAAGATGGTTGCAGAAATTATCTTCAAAACTGCATGTGGCTCATGGATTTCATGAGCTCTGCCCCTGTAGTATTAAAATACTATGTATACCTCTCATCCTGAAAAATCACTTTGATAAATGTGTTGGCTGCTCAGGCCAGTTGCACTGCTTCTTCTTTCACAAAGCCTATGTCCATGTGTAACAGTCTGTGTGATAATAGTGGAGGCATTGTCACTTCCTCCCTGTGCAATACAGGATGCATTGTCTTTCACCATTTCCACAAAGAATGTCACCTGGTACATTCTTCTCTGGCTTGTATCAAAACACATCGCTTCTGTTTGGCTGGGAGTAGAGACACACAGAGACATGGCGTATGAGAAGAATTGAAGACTGAATTCAACAGATACATACAAAAGTTGTTTATTGGAACCAAATTGAGAGCTGTTAAAAGATGATTATATCCTCAAGAGGAACATTCCTTTTTGAATGATGGTAGTTCTCCCCAATCTGGTCATAGATCTTTTTCTAATTGTTCTGAGTATTTTCCATAGTCATTTAAAAAATTAAAAAAAACCTTAGTGGTTCATAAATAATTTAAAGAATAAGAGTGGATAATAGCTCTCTCAGGCTACAAAACATTAAGCATGGTATGTTAGTCCCACTATAATAACTCCAAATATACTGTTAATAATGCTTGTCATTTATTCCTATGACAGGATGTTTATAAAAATGTTGCCTATTTTGCTCACTATTTCTGAATAGTTCTAATTTCTAGATATTGTACATTAAAATACATGTAGATTATCTTGCAGACTTGGCTGCTTTTTCCTTGTCTGTGCTGCAAGCTATGTTCTGTTTCAAGACCAATCAATTAGTTCTAGAGATAATCTGTTCCAAGTCCATATGTGTTTGACAGATTTTCAGTTTTGAACCAAGGATAGTGGACAAAAGAAAAGCCAGAATTTTGTTCCCAAAATAGATTAAGGCCATATTCAGAACTTCACTGCCTCCAGATATTTAGCGTTGCAAATGTGGGGACAACTCTCTTCATTACATCTTTACTTGTCTCTGCAGCTTTACACAATGGTGACTGAATTTCTGCAGAAGGGAGCTGGCTTTTGCCAAGGGGGGGGCTGTCTAAAATTTAGAAACTGGAAAACTGGGGAGTCTACACGTACAGTAGACAATGAAACCCCAATGCTGAAACAAGACATGTTTCTCTATTGGGGCAATGAGGTTATCACGGAGCAGACAAGAGGCAGTGGGCTCATTCATACTCTCCCTCATGAAATTCTAATAGACTGCATATTCTAGCATAGAAATTCCGATTATGGAGCAATGGCACAAAGATGCATACAGAAATATATTTCATAATACATGTATATGGAAAGCAACATAAAAAAGTCATCTGAATAACTGCTTTTAGCAGCAATGAATAGGTATGGAATACGTCACTGAAATGAAGACACATTACAATCTTACACAGGGCTGTTGAATTCTATATCTTCTAAAAGGTTTGATGGGAGGGGGAAAAACTAGACATTATCCTCAGTCATTATGGTAGAAAAGTATTTTACCATTGCCTCAAGTGACTGGGGAAAGTACTATTTCCTGGCTTTTAAAGGGCTTTTTAGATGAGAAATATTTCTAGTGCTCACCTGTCATTAAGCATTCCCTATGCTAGAAATGTGCATTAATTTTCACACTTTGTTTTGGTTCAAAATATATTTTAAAATATATTTTGACTTACACTGACTTACAGTGACCCTGATAGTGTTTTCAGGATACAGTATGTGAAATTTTAGTCGCTTTATCATTGCCACTCCTAGTGAGTTTCCATGGCTGAGCAGGGAATTGAACCCAGATTCTAGTCTCTAGTTCTGTCCACTATACCATACTGGCTCTCATGTGAACCACACCACATCAAGCCATAGTGCGCTTTTTATGCACAATCCCTTGTTTCAGTACAGTGCATGTACAAATGTTTTCATCCCAGTTCCTAGTTTTCCTTAAATTACTAGTGGAAATCAGTACAGATGCAACTATTCAAATAAATTTTGTCTAAACACAGCACTCAATCCTTTACTCGAAGATTAAGTACAAATCTGATTAAACCCTAGTTGTCTTGCTGCTTGATACTAAATGCATTTTCCTAGGATTGAGAGCTGTTTGCCCAAACAAAGCTTTGGACTTGACTGGTGTTGAAGAGGGCAGCTCTTGTATTGAAGAAATAAGTGATGTCACGGTATCGAAATGGAGCATAAGTTTCTGCTAGGTAATATAATGTGCCTGGTTCTGCACTGTTTCAGTATTTTTCAGTGTCATTTCTTTTGATTACCTGAGGCTTTTTTAAAAAAAGATCTTTGTTGTGGGGTGGTGGAGTTCAGTGATTCCCAGAAGAAGTTGTGTGGCTGAAAGCTTCATTTTTGCACCACAGCACTACACTGAAAACTAAATTTAAAAGGCTTCCATATATTCAGCAATATAGTATGATTAAAAATCCCCTTAAAATAAGTTTCCTTGAACTAAGCAGGTATTTTAATTTAAAAATCCTATCAACTGCAGCTCCCCAGATATTGTACTACAGTATCAAGTTTGAAGTTCTTTCAGGTTCCAAGAAGGACGTTGGTTGAGATAATGATCTCAATTATTACAGTTTTAGAGCTGGAAGGGATCATACGGATTGAATCCAGGGTCCTGATCCTGTTGGCAGTGCTCTGGTAGCAGATTTTGACTACTAAAAGCTCCTTTCTTTCCTAAGGCTCTGAAAGGCTTCCCTGGGGCAAAAGAGAACTAGAAAGCATTAGCTAGGAAGCTTCCAGCACCGGATTCTAGTTTGCACTAGTATGACTGCATGCACTAGGACTCTCAACATCAGCAGAGCAGGACCACAACCGCTAGGTAATATAGTTTTTACTTAAATCTGACCTCATTTGGCTAGACCTAGTGAGTTTACTAAATTAGCACCCCAATTCTCAGAGGGAGACTCAGGTTTTCTGTGTCGCCCAGTCAGAAAGATCTGTTTCGAGCTAAGGCCAAATGGGGAGATGTATTGTACACACATGCCTCTGCTTCTTTGCTTGTAGAACTGGCTGCCTAAATTGCAACCATAAAACAGCAACCAGACTCCTGACCTCTATCCAAGAGAGACAAGCCTGGTGGATGGCCAAGAACTGCTGAACCTAACATCTTAACGGCATCTTTTCTAGCAAAAAAAATCCAAAACATATTGCCATGTACTTTTGGACTTTTTAAGTTCTTCAAACTGGTACAATCTTGTAACATCTTAATGGCATCTTTTCTAGAAAAAAAACTCCAAAACATCTTGCCATGTACTTTTGGACTTTTAAGTTCTTCAAACTGGTACAATCTTGAAGAAGTGATGTTTAATCCACAAAAGCTGAGTTTATTGTGTGATGATATTTTTTTTAGTGATCTATAAAGGCATTGCTTATTTTTTACATTTGGATTTTGTTTTGTTTGGACCACGTAGCTGCCTTCAGTGCATGCACAAGATTTCAACTGCCTGATCCACACTATAAAAACATTTACAACTGAGCTGCAGCCATGTGGCATTGATAATATCATCTGAGAAGATTTCTGTTCATTTGCAAAATTCAGAGTATGGTGAATGGGTGGTTAAAACACAGAAAAGTTACTCTTTAAATATTAGTTGTAGTTCTGGTTTCTAAGCTCAAACTTCTGACTATTCTAATTTTTAAAAGAAATGCTTCCGAGTTCTTCAACAGTAAAATATGCTACACACAACTAATGCTTCTGTCTGAGTAAGTGGACTGACGTTAAAGCTCATACGGAACAAAAAAAATCTAGTAATGTTATGTCTTTTTGCCAACATGCTATAGAGAAAACACTGTCTCGTGGTGCAGAATACACTTTCTTCGCAACAAACTTTCTTCAATGCCCAAAACTGCATAGGAAAGCAGCTGAGTGCACATCATGGTTGAAGCATTAGTATTCCTCCTTCGTCATTTAGTTAGGCCACCCGTGTAAAGAATATACCACAAAAGAAGTGAAATTCTCCTTCATAAAATTAAAATTGTAATAAATGGGAATAGTTAGAACTCATTATTTTTCTGAATTGTAAAAATTGTTATTTACTGTTGTGAATAAGATCCATGATCATTTCAAGCTAAACCCACAATAGTTTTAACCTAGTTGTAATTTTAACAAAGGAGGAAATTACTCTTCTTCTGAACTGTCCATACGCTACTTGGAAATTGTAAAAGTCTAAAGGACTGCCACTGAGGTTGAATTCATACAGCCCACCCGTCGTCCTCTCAGTCTGTCTCACAACTCCTGTTTCTTCTGAGTCAGTGGCAGACTAGAGAAACTGAGGGCAGTTCTCAGGGTGGGGATGATGTAATAATGGGAGATTTCAATTATCCTGATACCTGTTGGGAGAGAAATTCCAACAAATATGGACCTTCCAAGAAATTCCTGGCTTGTGTAGCTGATCATTTTCTCCTACAGAAAGTGGAGGAAAAAACCAGAGTAGTAACTATCCTGGATTTCATCCTAACCAATAGAGATGACTTCATGGAAGAAGTGGCAGAAAGAAACTCAGGCAGCGGAGGGGGGGGAATGACTGTGTTCTTGTGTTCATGATTTCAAAATAATCATAAGTGCAGTATAGCCATATGTATAAATGGAACTTTAGGAAAACCAATTTTAA